CGTAAAACATTAACTTACAATAGAAAAAAGAAGAGTTCCTTATCATATTTTTGGTATATGTCAGTGGTTGGCGGGCGTTGATCTTATGTGGTTTGCTCTTTCTTTCCTATCAAACGACTGTCGTCCTTATTATCTCCCTTTTCTTGTCTCTCTAAGTTTCTCTCTAGTAGTAACACCTCTAACCTTCGGCGCCTATATTACTTTACGATTTATGTAGCAAGTGACGTAAGACTGTTACTAAAACTAACTAATCCTACCTATATTTCATTATCAACGTCAGCACCAGCGAGAAAAATAAATACATGTTTTTCAAAAATAGCCCGTAGGTAACAAAATAATGTCTTTGTTTGTCCGAGGTATTTTTTCCTGTGCTGTGGTTTTTTAATGGTTGGTGGGTGTCAGATGTCGGTCTTATAATTGCTTCTTTTTCATATTATTTCTTTCTATCAGTCTTGTTTTTCTAAGCACCAGTGGCGTCCTTGTCTTGTCAGCCATTAGACTAAAATTATTATATAAAATTGTTATTTGGATTACAGCTTTATTTGGGTAGATACTGTTTATCCTTTGAAAATATGTTTTATGATAAATATTTTATTCAGTTCATCCAGCTGCTAATTGGTTCCTAATGATCAGCAGAGAAAGAATATTATATTTATGTGAATGATAGATGTAGGGGCCTACTGATTGTGACTGGGCGCTCTGTTAGCTCAGTTGTTATCATGCGGGACTAAATCCCCAACAGGGCGTTTTGGAACTTGGGATAATATTGTGGAGTTATCAATGCTCCCAACCCATTTAGCTCGGCCATATCGGGGAAGGATGTTGCATTAATTGAAGGTTTCACCTCTTTAATATCCTAACAGTGTTGAAAGGAGCGTTAAACCTTTACTTATGCACTTCATTAGACTGCGACTTTGTATGTATTTTTGGAGAGTGTTGCTTGGGGTTCGCTGTGAACATTTCTTTGCAGGGGATACATTACTGAAGAAGTCTTTTCACTTTTTGTATGGTCATGACGTCAAGTTACTTCTCTTTAACTCAAACTGAAACTTGAACTTTGTGATCTGTGTATGTTGATGGGAGATTTAAAAATCTACGATTACGAGTACACTGATTTGTGCACTGTTTTGCCTTGTGGCTTATTGATATGGAAAAGTAACTATTTTCGAGCTAATTCATTTGTGTGTTTGGTTCTTGGGCACCACTGGTACGCCCT